CTCTCTCTGCTGTCTCTGCTGTCTCTGCTTCCACTACCTTGCAATGTGAGACCCTTGGGTCACTGTTGCCATCACCATATGGACTTTGGACTTCCCAGCCTCAGAAACTATAAGCAATAAATGTCATTTTTCTTTATAAAATACCCAGTTCCATGTATTCTGTTATAAGCAACAAAAACAGACTAATACATCCAGGTAGGGTGCAGTCTGGTCAGGTTGGCAGGGGCTGCTTGTCAGGGCCAGATAACCAGAAGGTTGTGGAGGGGGAGAAAATTTGGGTCTGTCAGGCTGGGAGCAACTATTTAAGGGCCAGGCCAGAGAGGGCAGCCCAGAGAAGCAGCATCTGGCAGGCTGGTAAGGGATAAGGCTCAGGTGCAGGCACTGTGAGGAAGAGAGAGTGAGGCAGAAGGATGCTCTAATGCCAGGAAGTGACGTTGAGGGAAAGAGGGATGGGGGATGGAGGATGAAGAATGGAGGGGAAGACAGAGCTGGGCCACATGGATAGGAGGAAGAGCACTAGGGAAGCAATGCTCAGAGAGTACTTGGCCCCCAGATCTTTCCCAAGCCCTGTCTTCTCATTCCCAGCCCCCACCCCTTGCAGTCTCTGCACAGGGCTGAGGAGAACACAGTAAAATTCTGGAGACTGCTGCCTAGGGAGCAGGTTACCTTACTAACTTCCCGGCCAGATCCATGGCTCTGAAAGGGGTGAGGTAATCCACAGGACAGGAAAGGCACTCTGGTCCCCAAGGACTTTGAGAGGTCATGCAGTCCATTCTCCTGTCTCCCGATACCCAGTACTACCAGACAGAGGGGAATCATATTCTCTTTATGCCTCCCTGGACATGAGCAGTTTCTCAGCTTCTCCCCAGACTCTGCTTCCCATAATCCCTAGCTGTGGGGCAAATTCTTCTTAAGACCTAGATTCTATTCCTCCGGCTGCAGTTTCTTACTTGGTTTCTCCTGTCCTGTTCTCCGTGGCTAGAGAAAGGCCTCTTCTGGATGATAGCTATTCCTTAGGATCTCCCCTCCAGCATTCCTCTCTTGTTAGTAAACTCTTCCCAAAAGGTAATCCCAATCCCTCCTACTGCAGTCCCTGGTATCATCTCCCTTGTCGCATACTACGCCTCCAAGGCAGAAAGGCATCTCCTTACCCACCAGATAATTAACGGAGACAAGGGAGAAGGGAGAGGTCCAGGAGGAAGGGGATGAATTAAGGAGATGGAGGCTGGAGTTGGGTGCTCGGCATAGATGAAGGAGGACCGGGGACTTCCCAAAGAGGGGCAGGGACGGGGCCAGTGGGCTTTACCAGTATCGGGGTCTCCTAAGAAGACGTCCTCGTCCTTGCGGCTCCTCAGCGGGGCTACGGGCGCCGGCTCATCCTCCGGCAACCGCGGGAAACTGGTGATGCTCATGTAGTCCACGGGCGAGTAGGCGCCCAGGGCGCTCTCCTGGCTGGCCTGGTTCTCCGCCGCCATCCTCGCCCGCGCCCCCCAGCAGCGCAGCGCCTGCCGGAAGTGGCTGCTGTGGGGGGTGGGGGAGGGAAGGCGGGGCCTGAGCTCCTGGACAGCTGCGAGCGTGCGCCTCACCCCCATCCTCGGCGGTGCCTTGGTCTGACTGGCTCCCGCCTGCTTAGCATTGTCAGTCTGCAGGGGGCACGCAGGTGCAGGTGGAGGGAGAGCCTGGGGGGCAATGGAGGGTCGGGCTCAGAGCGTGCTGCAAGCGCGACCACAATGGCTCCGGGCACTGTATATAGCCCAGGGGCCAAACCCCTTCCTCCTTCCAGTCTGAATCCAGACAGCATCCTCCTCAGACCCCAGACTCCTTCCTCCTCCTTCATTTCACCGACCGCAAACTCCTCCTCGACCCCAGATTCTGTCCCTGACCCAAAACTCCTCGGAGCCCAGACCCCTTGCAAGATCCTCCTCCTCCTATTTCAGACTCCTCTTCCAACCTTAGGCCTCTTTAGACTTCAGAATCTGCTTTCACCCCCAACCCCCTTTTTATACCCCAGCCCCTGCTTCATCTCCAGAGCTCTTTTTCACGTCCGGACCCCTGCTTGGACAACAGATCTCTCCTCTGACCTCAGATCCCTTCCCGCACCCCAACACTTAGACTCTTCTTTCAACAGCAATCTTTTCTGGGACCCCTGACCTATCAGCATAGAAGAGTGATTCCCAAACTTTAGTGTGTGTTAGGATCTTTGAAAGCAGATCCCCAGATTCTGCTCCAGAGGTCATAATAATTCTGTAGGTGGGATGAGGTCCTTGGAACTTGAACAATTTACCATCATTTTAAAAGTTTTTGACGTGGTTCTGGAAACGACACTTTGAGAAAGAAGTAGTGGTGGTGTGATAGGGCAGGAGTGGGATGGGTGGGGGCAGATAAAGGGGTGGGGAATGAGTCTCTGTATTCTAGGTGTCTAGGTTCTATTCGTGGTGCAACCACTCACAAACTGTATGATCTTGGTCAAGATACTTAATCTCCCTGAGTATGAGTTTCCTTATCTGTAAAATGGAGAGAATAATAGTATTCATCTTAGACAGTTGTCATGAGGATTAAAAAATGATGGAAAACGCTTAGTATAGGGCTTGGCACCTTCTTAATAAATGCCATCATCATCATTGTCTTAATATCACCGATTCTCACCCTGTCCAAACCCATTCATCTCTCCCCACTCAGGAATTCCAACCACACTACAGCTTGCAGTACTTCCCCATGTCCAAGGATGGGGAACGTTTCCTCTCATATGAGGCCTCTAGTCAAAATTTCTATTGTGCAGTCGTCAGGCAAAAGGAGGGGGCTGGTCATGTCCCTGAACACAGATCTCCTCCCTCCCCAACTCCAGACTCCAGGCTCAGAGATGACCTGAACTGCTTGAAAATCTAGTATGGGCACAGCAGCTGCAGTGCCACCTATAGCTAGGAGGAGGCAGCAGGGAATCAGGAACAGCTCTAGGGTTTGGGAGAGTGGCTGGGAGACAGGATAGGAAGGAGAGTGCTGCTCAGAGCCCTGTGGTGGGGATGGGTGGGAAGGATGACCCTCTGTATGTCTCTCGATAAAATGTGTACCCATTGCATGTGCCTAATCTCCTCAGTAAGGTCTGTAGGGCCTATTACGCTTCAGTGAGATCGGATCCCCTCAGCAGAGCCAGTCCCCACTAAATGAAGTCTGTGCCCCCTCAGTGATGTCCGCTCCCACAGAGTAGTTGGAAGATCCTCAGTGGGGCTTAAGTCCTCTCAATGTGGTCCACATCTTCTTGGTAAAGTCTATATCCTCTGTGTCTCCTAGGGGGAGATCCAAGTTCCCTCAGTAGTGTCAGTGCCCTTCAATGCTGTTCATGTCCTATTAGCAGGGCCCAGAGCCCTTCAGTGGGTTCTGAGAACCCCCAGCAAGATTTGTGCTGCCTTAGTGGAGTCCATGTACCTTCAGAGAAGTGTGTGTCCCTTCAGTGTGGTTGATAGCTCCTTGATGAAGTATCTGTCCCCTCAGTGGGGTCGATGTCCATTCTGTGAGGTCTGTACCCCTTCAGTGGACCCTGAGATCCTCCCTTCAGTATCGTATGTCTGACCATGGGGAGATTTTTTTGGGCTTATGGTGCGCTGGGCTTATGGTCAGCTGGGCAAAGAACAAGGGAGCAGGTGGGCAGAGAGACTGGGCTAGAGGTGGGCACAAGCCCTGTGTAAGCTTCAGGAGGCAGAAGCTGCCTGCTTCAGGCTTCGGAATCGCTGTTGGAATTAGACATTTAAGGATCCTTTCTGCCTTGACCCTTCTCGGCTGAGAGTGCAAGTCCAAAATGGAGGGTCCTGCCTGGTTTCTCCTTTCAGGAATGGAGGGGATCGAGGGAAGCCAGAAATGATTGAGCCCACACTGAGGCAGGTAAGAGAGGCCCCTTGGTGAAATAAACACATTGGGAAGGAAAGAAGAGAATGTGAATGATTACTCCTATTTACATAGATTTTGGTATTTTACAAATCTTAGCTTCAGCTAGAGGCAGTAAAAACGGAACTGGAGTCAGGGAACCTAGGTTTGGCCCTGACTTGGTCTTGTTTGCTTTGTGACCTTGCACACATTCCTTTCCTTTCCTGGGTTTACCATTTGCGCAACGAGAAGATGGATTTATTAGCAAAGACCTGAAGGCGCCTTCTACTGTTCACTCGATGAGTGTCGTACTTAGATCTGGATGGAGATTTGTGGAGGCAAGGAGAGTGAAGACATATCCTCCGAGGTAGGAGAAAATCTGAGTTGGCACCAGGGTCAGCAGAGAAGTCCTATCCCTGGGTCATGCCCTCAAGGTCGTGGGAGGAGCTTTTTCCAATAATAGAGTGGGGGTGTTGCTTAGAGAGGGAGGGCGGGGGGGGGGAAGGGTGTCACCTGGAAGGGAACCTACTCCACTTGGCTTTGCAACTCAGTAGGGTGACAGTCAGGATTGTGAAAGCAGTCCACAGGGCGGCTCCGTGATGGGCCTGACCCAACTCCTCTCCTTAGCCCAGCCCTTTCCTGCTCGATCTCGGTTCTAAACTCAACCCTTTATCTGTCACTCCAAGACCTCTCCCCAGACCCCACCCCACCCTGGTCACTCCATGGCCCTGCCTCCTGTCCTGTCACGTCCAGCCAGGCTACTCCCCATCACTCCACGGGCCCACCTCCTCTCCTGTCACGCCTGGCCCCGCCCCTCCCCTGTCACTCCATGGTCCCACCCTCTCTCCTGTCACGCCCGGCCCCGCCTCTTCTACTTTCACTCTAGGGCATCAGCCCTTCCGGCAAGTCAGCTCCGCCCCTATCTCTCGGCTTTTCCAAATCTCTGTCTTTGCTAACCTTGGTCCCGCCCCAATCAGGCACGGTTCCGCCCCTCTGGGCTCCGCCACCCGGTCTGCCTAAGCTCCACCTCTACCCACCAGGCCCCGCCCCTCCCGAAGGCCCCGCCCCTAGGCCTGCCTGTTTTCCCCGCCCGGCACCCGCGGCTACAGCAACGGCTGCCACCGTGCTCGGAACCTGACACGATGGGGCTTCCCGAGGAGCGGGGCCAGAGCGGCACCAGGAGCGGTGGCCGGGAGGAAGCTGGAGCCGGGGACCGGGCGCGGAGTTGGTCTCCGCCGCCCGAGGTCAGCCGCTCCGCGCACGTCCCCTCGTTGCAGCGCTACCGCGAGCTGCACCGGCGGTCTGTGGAGGAGCCGCGGGGTGAGGCCCGGCCCGGCGGGCCCGGCGGCCGTCAATGAGGAGAGGAGTAGGGCTCCCTGGGGAAATTGGGGGCTCTCTTGGGAAGTTGAGAGGTCCGTGAGGAGATGGAGGTTTTGTGAGGAAAGAATTGTGGCTTTTTGAGGAGATGGAAAAGGGATTCCGGGAGGAGGTGGGGGTTCTGTGAGATGAGGGATCCCTGGAAGTTGGGGGTTGCCCTGCGACTTGGGGGGTTTCGTGAGGAGATGTGGGTTTCCGTGAAGGAAGAAGCGAGGTTCCTTGAGGAGATGAAAAGGGAGGGGGAGGTTCGTTGAGGAGAGTGAAAGTTTCATGAGAAGAGAAGGGGGGGGGTTCCTGAGGCGAAATGTGGGGGTAAAAGGGGCGAGGGGACGCCTTGAAGGGAGGAGGGCCACGAGCCGAACTTTCTTTGCCTCTCTTTCGTGTTAACTCAGCCATTGTCTCCTGAGACTTTTAACCTGTGATTTAGTCTCAACTGTTGAGAGACAGTACAGGTCTGGTTCTCATCTTTGCGTCCCCCAAATTAGTAATGAGGCCCCAGATGTATTTTTAATATATCAGAAATCCCAATGGAAATTACCCAATATAAGACTGAAAAAGTCATTAAAATAAGTTGTTTTTATTTTTTCTAATTTGGGTTGGGATTGTAATAACTTGCAGATTTTGATAGATAGTTCCATGTCTTTAAAATGTGTGAGGAAAATTTCCTGTCCTTGCCCTCATTCTGGGTAAGGGGTCAAAACTGCACCCCAGTTGGGAGGCAGCATGATGTTTGGTAGTGAGATAAGCATGGGCCACAAATGAAACCAAGAAAAATCTAGATTTTGACCCTGGCTCTGCCACTCACTTACTTTGGGGTCTTAGGCAGATTTTTAAACCTGTCTGAGATTCATTTTCTTCATCTATAAGATAGGAATAATAATACTTTGCCTCAAAGGTTTGTAGGAGGACTAAAGTGTGCATTATAGAGAACCTGATGCACAGTTGATATTCAATAAATTTGTAGCCTGATAACAATAAGAACAACATGGAGGAAACAATTACCAAGTAATGCAAGACAGGATTGAATCAAGTGTAAAGTGATAGATTACTGTAGACAATGTCCAAGTTTGAGCCTCAAGACCTCTTTTCACTTCTCTTCCCTCTCTATATTTTCTTCCATCATGAGTTCACCTGTTTCCCAAGGGTGAGCTATTACTGCCACAATAATAATTCGTATTCTATTTATCTAGCCCTGTACCTGGCATCTAACTTGTGCTCTGGTTCCAAATTTCATAGACCTGTAGACCATTTATATTCACACACCTTGATTTATTACTATATTCAATATGACTATGACTGGAATTACCAATTTTCCCTCCCAAACCTGCTCTCTTCCCTAATTTTCTAATCCCTGTCTGTGTCAATGGCACTGTCCTAAACCATAAATCTCTTTCATTGTCCTCTCCAATAAGATCTATCTATGTATCTTATCTAGATTTTATAGATTGCTTACTGCTTGGTAAGCAGAATTCCAGTTTGATTTGATGGAGGGACTGTTATTATCCCATTTTACAGGGAAGGAAGTGGAAGTTTAGAGAAGTTAACTAACTTGCACAAGGTCATGAAGCTAGTTAGTGGTGGAACTGCAGTATGAACTAAGGCAGTCTTGACTGCAGAACCTATATCCTGATAGCAATGTAAGTCCTCTTCCCTGACTCCACAGTATGCTTTTCACCAAATTCTGTCAAATACTCCTTCAGAATGTCTCACAGATTTACCTTTTCTTCCATTCCCACTGACCCTTTTAATCAAGGAAGCAGCCTCCTAATTGGTTCTCTCTCCACCTAGTTTCACCACCCTCAATCTCTCCACTAGATTTATTTAAACACCATTAGATTAATATTCTGGAAATACCGCATTCACATGTCACTGCAAAAATTTTCAATAGTTCCTTATTTCCTACAGTTTCAAGTTAAAATTCTTTTCTTTTAAGACCTCTGGATAATCTAGCCCCACCCCACCTCTTTATCTTTATCTCCCACTATTCCCTACCACACCCCTCATTCTAGACAGGTCATTCTCTTTGATATCCTAGATACACAAAAGTCCCTTCCCACCTTCTTGCCTTTGCCCATTTCCTTCTGCTCCTCTCTACCTAGTCAAACTCCACCAGTTCCAAAGAGCATTCCCTGATCATCCCAGTTCATGCTCATCTTTTTTCTCTTCTGAACTTCTTTAGTACTTAGAATCTGTGCCAATAAAACATCCAGATTCCTCCACAAACACAAAAAAACTCTACAAAAAAACCCCAGACAAAACTAAGTGAGCATAAAACTCAAGTTTTCTTCATTCCTTGTTGATGGACATGAGCGTGGTTTATAAATATTTTTATATAATATGTGCTTACTATTATTACTTAAAAATATTTTTGAGTATTTATATGTATTCTAGTTACTAGCTGTGTGGTCCTTGGGAGAAGAGTTTCCTACGCTTCAGTTTTCTCATCTATAAAATTAGGATAATTAATGTATACTTTATAGGAAATAATGTCATAAAGATAAAACGAGATTAGTCCAGTCCCTGATATGTGAATGGCATTTGATAAATGCCAGTTCCCAAAGGCCATTTAGTGTTCTATCATGTTACTACTTGTATTACTAGCTTTCATCAGTTTGTTTTTGTTGGCTTCTGGGTTGTTGTTTCCATTTTCACTATGATAAATAGTGTTGCTATAAAGATGTCTTTAGTAATCACTTTTTTTCCTCTGGGATGATTTTCCAAGTATATTCCCCAAAGTTGAGTTAGCAGGTAAAAGGGTATAAAAAGTTTTATGGCTCTTGTTAAGCATTGCCCTGCTATCCAGTAAGATTGTGCCAATTTCTTACAATGCCATTATTGTATAAGAAAATCTGTTTTCCCAGGGCCACCTAGACATAGGGTTTAATCAGGTTTTTTTTTTTTTTTAAAGATGACCGGTAAGGGGATCTTAACCCTTGACTTGGTATTGTCAGCACCACGCTCTCCCAAGTGAGCTAACCGGCCATCCCTATATGGGATCCGAACCCGCGGCCTTGGTTGTCAGCACTGCACTCTACCGAGTGAGCCACGGGCCGGCCCTTACTCAGGTTTTTTTAATCTTAGCTAGTTTTATAGGTATATAATGGCACCTTGGGGTTGATTTGATTTGGATTTATTTAATAGATCACAAGGTTGTATGCCATGTGATTTAATTTTCAGTTATATTTTGTCTTGTAAATTCAAAAATATTTCATGTGTTAGTCTTATCTCTCTAACTAGATTATATAAACTCTAAATCATGTAACCTTCAACAAATCATTTAGCCTCTATGAATTTGGTTTCTTATTTCCTCCCATTGTCATGCTTCTAAGTGTCTCTCTCCCTGGAGTACATTTTCTCCAGAATAGCTGGGCAGATTTTTTTTTTTTTTTTTCCTTTTTTTTTTGTCTTTTTTCGTGACTGGCAACGGATCGCAACCCTCAGTGTTGCGCCCGTACCAGACCGGGACCGGCAACGGGATCGCAACCCTCGGTGTTGCACCTGCACCTTGCTCAGCCAGTGAGCTGTGGTCTGTATGTGGGATCCGAACCCTCGGCGGGAGCGCCACCGCGCTCCCAAGCGGCGCACTGTAGCAGTGCGCCACTGGGCCGGCCCCGCCAGGCAGATTTTTAAGAATATAAATCTGATCATGATACTCTTGTGTAAAACCTTTCAATGGCTTTCCACTGCTATTGGGGTAAATACCAAATTTCCTATTATGCACAGAAGAATTGTGTGATCTGTTTAGTTTATGCACCAATTCCTGCTATTCTTTCTCTTATTCTCAGTGTTTCAGCCTCAAAGAGTTCCTCTTAGCATATGCCTTTGGTTCCCTCCCATCACATAGTACTCTTCCCCCCTCTCCCCTCCGCCCAGTGAGGGAGTAGAGAAAAACTATTCATCTTTCAAATTTTAGCAAAAATGTCTCCCTTAGGGAGTTCAAATCTTGACTTACTAAACTATGTAGCTTGGACAAGTTATTTAAGCTCTCTGAACCTTGGATTTTCAAATCCATAAAACCAAAATAGAAATAATGCCTACCTTCTAGGGTTGTGGTAAGGACGAAATAAGCTAACACATATAACGTACTTAAAGCAACATCTGGCACATAGTGAGTAACAGTTGCATAAGTAGTAGTAGGAGGAGACTCAATAAATAATTGCCGAGAGAGAATGAACAAATTAAGAGAAGAAAGAGATGATCATGGAAGGCTCTGTGAGTAAAGAATCTCTTCCTTTCACTATTTTATTACAAAATTTGCTAGTTGGTTAGCTCAGTTGGTTAGAGCATGGTGCTGACAACACCAAGATCAAGGGTTCTATCCCTGTACTAGTTAACCAACAAAAAAATAAGAAAATAAATAAAAATTACTGATTGCTTAGTATGTGCAAGGTACTGAGTGGCTGTGATTTGAATAGATGGTGAAAAATGGATAGGCAGTTTAGAGGACAGAAGGAAGTATTTGAGTCAAGATTCAGCCCATGGGATTAGAAGGTGGGTTAGGAGAGTGGTGGATGAAAAGATTAGACAGATCAAGTAGGGATGCAAGTGGTGGGTCTTAGGGCAGGGAAGTTTAACTTGGTCCTGTGCATAGATTGGTAAGCCATCTGAAGATAAATATGTCTGAAAAGCTTAGTGATGTCTGGGCTTTCCTTTCTATTGCAGAGTTTTGGGGAGATATTGCCAAAGAATTTTACTGGAAGACCCCATGCCCCGGCCGGTTCCTCCAGTACAACTTTGATGTGACTAAAGGGAAAATCTTCATTGAGTGGATGAAAGGAGCAACTACCAACATCTGCTACAATGTACTGGATCGAAATGTCCATGAGAAAAAACTTGGAGATAAAGTTGCATTTTACTGGTAAAAATATTTATCTTATAGTCTGTGGGAGATAAAAACAGTCACTCCTCACATTTATATAGTGTTTCATAGTTCATAAAACTTTAAAATCCATTAACTCATTTGATGCTTACAACAACCTGTAGAGAAAGCAAAGTATCATTAACTTAATGTCTCAGATGAGGAAAATACCACAAGGAAGTTAAATAACTTTTCTCAAATCACATAACTAATATATGACAGAATTGACATTCAAAGGCAAATGTCGTGACTTCTAGTCTATTGTTCTTGGCTTGTGGTTGGTGAGGAAGGAGGGATATGGGTAAATAGAAGAGACAGAACTGAGTATCTTTCTTTCTCATTCTTGCTTTGGGAGGAAAATGGGTATTGAATTTTTCACTACAACCATTATCTACGTCCTATTAGCCTATCTACCAGACACTATACTTAAGTGCTTAACAAATATTATCTCATTTTATGACTGAGTATCTTTCTTTCTCATTCTTGCTTTGGGAGGAAAATGGGTATTGAATTTTTCACTACAACCATTATCTACCTCCTATTAGCCTATCTACCAGACACTATACTTAAGTGCTTAACAAATATTATCTCATTTTATGCTCACAACAAATATAAAGGCACTATTTGGTTTCCTAATTTTACATATGTGAAAACTGAAATTCTGAGAAAAGTGATTTGTCCAAAATCAAACAGCTAGCAAGAAACAGGGCTGAGATACCAGGAAGTATAATTATAGAGCTTACTCTCTTAACCATGACACTATACTATCCCTGTAATTCCTTACCTGGGTCTCTCAACAGCTTTGCAAAATAAGTATTCTTAGTTTCATTTTACAGGTGAAGAAATGAGCATAGAAGGGTTACATAGTGAATAAGGTCACAGAGTGAGTAAGTGGAAGAGTGAGGTTTCAAACTCAAGTCCATATGGTCTCCCCAGTGTGAACTTTCTAAGACCTTTTCCTCATAGCAACTTAGCTCTCTAGGAAATATTATTATACTGAACCCAAACAGGATCTTGAAGTTCCAGTAATTGGGGTGTTGTTTCTGCCACCACTTATGAACACTCTGAGAACTGGTCTATTTTTTTTTAAGCTAGTCAATAGGAGTAGGTTGGATGCTTCATGGAAGAGCTCAACTGGTACTCAGTCAAAATTTACCCAGTTTGTGGATATATTGAGAAAAGCCCTAATCTGAGAGACAGGAAATTTATGTTCTCATTCCAACTCTGCCATTAAGTTGCCATGTAACCACAAGCAAGGCATTTAGCTGTTTGAGAGTCAGTTTTCTCTTCCGTAAAATGGGGCTAATAATTCCACCCTTGTCTTTCTCACTGGATTATTATAAAAACCAAATGAGATGATGTCATAATAGCATTTATTTATTTATTTATTTATTGGAAAACATACAAACATGAGTGGTCTATGATCACATTATCATTGCTCAATTGGGGGTCACTCTGCCACTAAAACTGTTAATAACTGTCTGTTATTTCTGTTAAGACTCTTTTTAGCACCTGCTCTAGGGCTTTATGCTGAGCTCCAGCCAATACTTGGGCCCACCTCCTAGGTTCCTTAAGGAGCAGAAAACCTTTAACGATCTACATAGGAGATGCTTGTGTCTGAATTTATTCTCTGATTTGAAATAACTCAGGTGCCTGATGAAAGACTGAGAAAACATAGACCAGAATTTTAAACTGCTGGAGATTGCTCCAGAATCCTGAGGCCCTTGTTTCTTGAGACACTAATTCCCCTATCACCCTTATGTGAACAGGCCCTAGAAAGCCTCTCTTTCCATCTGTAAAAATGAGGGGAATAGACTAGATCAGTGTTTTCCAAAGAATGTTCCAGGAACCACTAATCACTGGAAATATTGGCAGAGGCTTCTTAATTCATGAGACAAATGAGTCTGAGAAACACTACATAATAAATTGCCTTTGGAGATTCCCAATGTATACTAACATAGTAAAATCTCCAAGAAGTCCTATAGTAGAAATACCCGATTAATTTTCCAAACTTATTTCAGCCCCAAACACTTTTTTCAGCATGCTATTAATATCACAAGAAGCAGTATTCCATGGAACACCAATTTGGGAAGCACTGGGTTAAATAATCTCTAAATTTACTTCCTCTGGTGCTGGCTGATTAGCTCACTTCTTTAGAGCATGGTGCTGATAACACCAATGTCAAGGGTTTGGTTTCCCATACCAGCTAGCTGCCAAAAAAGAAAAAAGATTACAATCAATTTACTTCCAGTGCAAAATTCTGTAACTCCATAACAAGACATCCTCGTTCCATTTTTACACTGGGCATTCCCTCAACAAGAATTGTTAAAGATATTGGGTGCTTAGTCCTGTGTTAGGTGTTATGGATACAGGGATAAAGGGGTGGGATACAGGGATAATATGTGCAGTTATTATTCAATTATTTTATGTTTATAGTAAAGCAAAAGCAAACTACAGATAAATCACATCTGTAAGAAAGTAAAGTACAAATATGCCAGATATGTGGTTACTTTTCTTAGTTACCTCCATATTTTTTTTTTTTTTTTTTTTAAAGATGACAGGTAAGGGGATCTCAACCCTCGACTTGGTGTTGTCAGCACCACACTCAGCCAGTGAGCGAACCGGCCATCCCTATATGGGATCCGAACCCGGGGCCTTGGTGTTATCAGCACCGCACTCTCCCAAGTGAGCCACGGGCCGGCCCAATTACCTCCATATTTTTAAATAACATGCTTATACTGATATTTCTTCATATTTTTAAGGAAAGTATTGATTTCCTATTATGATAGATGAGAATTTAGTTCTCATATATCCCTCCAACTTCTTTCTCCCATCCTCCCAATATGATTATACCTGTTTTCTAGTTCATCGAAAATCACTGTTTAAATAAGAGTAGTATATTACAGTGGCACTTCTTTTTCTGTATACGTTTTTGTTTTCTCTGAAGTTAATAATTACCCTCCATTTACAATGTAGAGTGGGGGTTGTTAAGGAAAGAATCCTCTGATCAAGGTGACATTTGAGCAGAGATCTGAAGGAAATGATGGAGTTAGAGTGGGGGTTGCTAAGGAAAGAATCCTCTGATCAAGGTGACATTTGAGCAGAGATCTGAAGGAAATGATGGAGTGTGCCATGCAGGTAGTTGGAGTGGAGAGGGGAAATGTTCCAGGTACATTCGGAAGAGCAAGTGCACTGCTAACTGGTTATGTTTGAAGACTAGGTAGGAAGTTAGTGTAGCTGAGGCAGTGTGAGGTAGCTATTGTCAGCAGGATGCTAGTTCACGTAGAACCTTGAAAGCCAATGTAGACTTTGGCTTTTATTCACAGTGGAAGGGGGAAACACTAGACAGTCTTGAGCATAGATGTGACAATAATTTGGCTTATATTTAGGATCTGTCTTTTGTGTTGAGAATAGAATGTAGGAGGGCAAAAGTAGAAGCAGGGTGATCAATTAACTATTATAGAAATCCAGGTGAGAGATGATTGTGATTTAGACCATAGTAGTAGTTGTGAAGATGGTTAGAAGTGGTCAAAATCTGGGCCGAGCCCGTGGCGCGAGAGAGTGCGGCAGCGGGAGCGCAGCGGCGCTCCTGCCGCGGGTTCGGATCCTATATAGGGATGACCGGTGCGCTCACAGCGCTCACTGGCTGAGCGCAGTGCAGCCAGTCTCAAAAAGGACAAAAAAAAAAGTAGTGGTCAAAATCTGGATCTATTTTGAATGAAAAGCTCATGGAATTTGCTGGCTTGGATTGGATGTAGGGAGTGAGAGAAAAAGTCCAGGATGTGTTCAACAGAGGATGAGGTCCATATATGGGAGATCTTAACTATTTTTTTGGAGATCTATGAAAGGATTTTATGCAGGGTAATGATATGGTCACAGGTGGGTTTAAGAAGATTCATCTGGATACATATGAAAGTGGCAGTGTGATGGGAGTGTGAAGGCCACAAAGAACTGAGTTTGTTATTCAGGGTAGAGATGCCTGAACTGAGATGCTACTGGAATGGAATGGAAAGATAAAATTTTAGAGTAATTTACAGGAAAGAAACCAGCACAGGTGACTGGATGTGTAGATGGTGGGGAGACAGGGAGAAAGTGAGAGGGAAAAGTCAAGAATTATCTTTGTCTATATAACACTTTGCCTCTTTCACGGGCCCACATTATCTGATCCAAGGGCTGAATTTGCCCTCTGGAACAAGACTTTGGTTCTAACCTCTCTTGCACTGTCTTTACCTTGGTGTGACAGGTAGGAGTGTTGGTGGGGATTTATGTGTATGTGTGTGAGAAGAAGATCAGTAACAAAGTATTGGGAGAGTCATTTTGGGAGAGATAGTCAGTGGAGGGATGTTAGACATAGCTGAAGGAGTGGGAGTTGGCTAGTGGAAGGGACCCAGGGGACAGAAGGTGATTTGAGGAATTAAAGGGTTTATGGGGAGAGGATGGAAAGAGTGGTTAATGGCTGATATTCTGGCCATTTATACTAGCTGTTTAATACATGGTTTATTTCAGGAGAGGTCTCCAGTCACCAAAGCCCAACAAATTTGGTATAGTCTATTCCTTCCATTGTTTGCTTTGGGTTGCTTATGGCTGTCATTATCTCTGGCTACCTCAACCCTCACTCTCAGTTGAAATCACTGCTGTCTCTTCATGGGCTCTAACTGTATTTCAATTCTTCTCTAGAAAGTGGAGCTTCTGAGAAGCGGGTGATGCTTTTATGAGTGACCTTAGGACAGAAGCTCTGCTCTCAGGATCCCTGTATGCTCCCAAGTACGAATTCCAGAGTATGATATTAGGAACTTCCCAGATGCCTGCGGGGGTATGTGTATATACATTTAAGAGGGTGAGGATGGTTGAGAATGTGAGATAAGCCCATGTTTTGACAAGGAGAATATTTGTCAAGATAACATGGAAAGCCATAGCCCTAGAGTATATTGTAGTCTCATTCATGTCCAGGGACTGATAATTATCTAGGTATGCAGTTCACTGAAGCGATATGGAGAGAG